TNTTAGAAGTAGTTAGTTATATATATGTATTATTAGTTTATTAGTTAGTATATATATATATATATATATATATATATATATTATATATATATATATATATATGTGTGTGTGTGTGTATATATGTATATATATATATGTATATATATATATATATATGTGTGTGTGTGTGTGTCTTACAATACATGCAAATGTACTACTATGTATCTGCCTTCTTTTTGCATTCCTACAGAAAATACGTATTCAAATATAGAATGTTAAGTGTGCATACAACCATAATTCTACATATGCATACTGGCTATGTGCTGTACCAGCATGTACAAAGTTCTAAGTCAAATAAAGTATTTTTGAAGTATTGCAGAAGTCCGCTTCGAGCTATCGTGTTCTCCATGTTCTACGTTACCTTAGACGACCACGCTTGTTGTATCAGCATAAGCTATTATTGAACCAATCACTCGATTTTAATCTTGATGGTAAGTAATGGTTTGTGGAGTTGAATTCTGGAGGTTGGGATACATGCGTGCTGCCTCCCTTTAATAGAGATTGTTTTGTCTTCACTGTCTGGTGGACCAACTTCTGGTCATATCTACTAGCTATTCTATTTGTCGAGTGTTCCTTCCCATTCTATAGAATTCACGGCTCTCTTCAGCACCTCTAAATCAGCTCCTGTTGTGTTTAATCAGCATAGTCAAGCTATTTACCATTCTAACAAATAAACAAGAACGCCTTGAATGCGTAAAGAACCGATGAAGGACTACTATGCGAAAGCCTTCAATGTAGTCTTGTAGTCCTCGAGACTGCCAATATCGTATCTCCCTGAGATGGCATATGCGTACACGGGTATATGTGTGTGCAACCAAGCAATGAGTCTCCCAGGGGCATCTCTAGAGGTGAGAGGCTTGTCCTTATGCTCCTCCATAAACTGTCTTACCAGCGCAATTCCCTTAGGAGGTATATAGTAGAACGCTGGACATGCATTCCTACTATGTGTGTCTTCGGGATTGGGTTTCTCAAGGAAGGATATAACCTTCTTATTCTCGTCTATCTCGATGATACCCCGTTTCCGCGTGTCTTCGTTACCGATGTCATAGTACACCACTGAGCAAGCCTCCTCCGTTCTTGTGAGATTGTACTTTATAAAGTCATTGATATCAAAGTCCTGATGAAACAACGTATCCCCTGCGATGACAAGTATACCTGTGTCTGGTCCCATCTCGTCTTTCTTCGCTTGCAGCACCATGTCTATATCCGCCACAGCCCCCAGGCGAGTCTCATTGCTCATAGTATGATCATTGATAAGGCTAGTGTGTTTAAATATACCCTCCTGACTCTTTCCCCACACCTCGAATTGCTTAGCAAAGAACCCGTTCGTAATCACATAGAAGTCACGTACAAACGCATTGTCTTTGAGGGATTCGAACCAGTGACTAAGTAACGACTTGTTACCCACTGGTAAGAGGGGCTTAGGTATACCAATCAGCTCCTTATACTCGCCCGAGGAGTCCGCTTCAATACCCTTCTGTAGTCTGGTACCGTAGCCAGCTCCCAGCACAATCGCGCTCACCTGTGTAGTCGGCATTGCTCGATTGATAGATTTGAATACAGAATGATCTTGCCGATGTATCAGAATGGTTGTGCTAGTGTATTTTGAATGCGTATAACGAACATCGTTTGTTTTGTGGTATAGATTGTGGGTGCATTGTTTTGTTTACATCACGGATTAGTGATTATTGATTTGGCAGATTTCAGATGAGCGGTGGCCTCAGGCCTGTAGGCTGTGGGCCTGGGCCTGTGCCCTCACTGCCCTGGGGCCTGGTTCGGTGATGTGTATTATGTGTATTATATCTGCTCTTTATATCTGCTCAAATCCTACCAATCGAATCTCCGCTATTATTTTCAAAAATCATGACCTGATATGACTCATTGCAAGTTTACAGTATCATCTTTATAGAGAGATCAGAGAAGTTAATAAAAAAAAGACCAGGCTACATTTGTAGAATAAACAGAGGCTCATACATAGCGGTGAAGAACAAAAAGTATGTAATACATAACCTTGGTATTAAAAAAATGGGTCACATATATCAATAATCGAAATGGCGAGATCGATGTGCATAATGCGTAGGGCTTTGAAGTGGGGGGTGATCTTATTTGTACTTGCGGCGGCGTCAGGTACAACAATATACCAAGCATGCGTACCGTATGAGGGTGAATACGGCATTGCATGCGTCTGTAGCAATGTAGTGTGTGACAATATTGAGCCTCTACACTTGACGGCTAATATTTCTGCCAACACGGCGGTTGCATACACTTCCTCGCTTGGGGGAAAACGACTGGTGAGATCAACTATAAATAAGACTTCAAGCGGTGCGAATGGTGCAGGTAGCTTATCGGATGGCAATGTGACTGTGGTTGCTTTGAATCTCACACATACACATCAAACAATTTTAGGGTTTGGTGGGGCTATAACTGATGCAACAACCGGGCTGGTAAATGGACTCGACAATAATACGTTCCATAATTTTCTTCATAGTTACTGGGGCCCTGCCGGCGTGGGCTATGCCATGGCTAGAATTCCCTTGGGAAGTACAGACTTCTCACGGCACAGCTACACGCTCGCACCAGTGGAGAACGACTTGGATCTTATTTCATTCGCATTACGTGACGATGCAGGCAACGTGGGGTATGACTACAAAGTAGGTCTGGCCAAACACGTGGTTGCTATGCAACCAGCGACTAAGTTTCTTTTTGCGCCGTGGTCGGCCCCGGTGTGGATGAAGTCGTGCAATACGAGTATACCTCCCAGGGGTAGGAACTATTGTGGTGGCGAGGGCGACGAAAGTTCGGTACCTACGTATTTGTTCGGTGGGTTTAGCACTGATAGCAGAACTCGTGCATCGTATGCACAGTACTTTGTAAAGTTTATCCAGGCGTATGCCGAGCTAGGAGTGAGTTTCTGGGGACTCTCGGCGCAGAACGAACCGGAAGGTAACCCGACTGGGAACAAATGGGAAAACACCAACTGGCTGCCAGATGACCTTGTGAGTTTCACCGAGGACTATCTTGGCCCTGCACTCGAGGCAGCTGGTTTGGGCCATTTGTCCATTATGACTGGTGATGGGCAGTTTCCACAAGCCACCGAGTATGGGAATGCGTCCTATGGGGTGGGGTCTAGCGGGAAGAATGGGAGTTATATCGATGGTATAGCATACCACTGGTACAACTCACTCGATGGTATGCGGGAGGATGGTGAGGCGATACTGGGCGGCCTGGCCGGGGGGGGCATAGAGATACGCAATACATACGAATTGTACACATTAGAGAATAACGAAGTCAATCCAGGGTATTTGCTGAGTACAGAAGCATGCACCGGTACTATCCCCGGTGGTCGGTTCCCAAAAGTGGGCGACTGGAGTCGAGGGTACGCCTACACGCGTGACATACTACACCAGCTGAACAACGGCGGTGTGGGGTGGCTTGACTGGAACTTGGCACTGAATACCGAAGGTGGCCCAAACCATGCGAACAATACCGTTGACTCACCGGTGATTGTGCTAAATGAGACGCACTTCGTCAAAAACCCAATGTTTTACTCGATGGGACATTTCTCGAAGTTTGTGGTGCCCGGCAGCAAGAGACTGGACGTGGCGGGGCTGGTAGATTCAGTAGTGGGGGCAAATGGCCTGGAAGTAGTGGCCTTCAAGACGCCTACGACTAGCTCGGAGACCATATACAAGCCTGATACATCCACGGGTACAAATACAGCCACAGCCACAGATACTGGCACCGGAACACAGTCAGAAACAGAGGTACACACGGGTGAGGAGTGCAGTGCGTGTGTGGTGGTGGTACTCGCAAATGACCGGTACACTGGTGATATGCGGCCACCCATCGTGCCTGTAACGGCAAGGATTGAAGTGGGGGATACGGTGGTTACTACGACTGTGGGGAGCAACGAGGTCCAGACGATTGTGTTTAAGCCCTGAGCGTGTTACCCTTGTCTTGTAAGTACAAGGGGAGGGGGTTGGCAGGGATTGGGTTGGTGTCATCGAGACCACTCGTTGTGTTGTGTCCAAAACATACTTGTGCCATTGGATGACATCGCGATTTATGACCTAACAGACACACTCCTAGTTCGATACGGCAGGACATATCACAAAGTGCGACACATTTATTCCTTGATGTGTCCCGTGATGTGGTTGCATATCAGAAGTGCAATCCTTCTTCTGCGCGGGCAAAACGCTAAAGCAACAATGGTTCGCCCTGGTATATATATTGATATATAATATATATACCAATATATTTATATACCCGGTATTATCCTGCTGTCTCGCCCACTGGTTTCTGTTTGCGCTTCATGGCGGCCTCTCGTAAGCTGGACCACCTTAGCCTGTTCAGGGTTATAGGGTTTGCGCGGTTGAGAAAAGCTATCCGCAGAATATGTGTATGTACCTTCAGCGCCCAGCAACTGGTACGTACCAACGCACCTGTGTACTGGTTGGGTGATGGATGGTATAGTAGCTGGCAAACACCCCGTAAATAACTATATGCAGCATATGGGGGTATTCCCAGCCAGCCGTACAGGCAACAGGACAAGCAAACGCGACATCCCTATATCATAAACCCGGTTGACTCGTGTGTATAAACAGCTCACCCACAAACACAATTCTCGTGAGTCAAGTAGCTAACTCTGTACTTCCACAACAAGACAACAGGACATGTCAACATATAATTCTGCTCAGGTCACAGGCACTACCCTTGCACATGCACCTACACCTTTAGCCACATACTCGTGCTTGGCATTGTCGGCCTTGAGCCGTTCGTTCTCGGCCTTGAGTTGTTCCAGTTCGCTGAGCATCTGTTTCTTCTTCATTACTGGCGAGCTCGCAGTCGCCGAGACATTCGGCTGCACCCCAAACAAGCCGGGAACAGACGGTGAATATATGAGTAATATCACAACCGATACACACACACACACACACACACACACACATACATACATACATATATATATATGTGTGTGTGTGTGTGTGTGCGTGTGTGCGTTACAAAATAAATATTGATGAAGAAACATTCTTCGGTTCATACGTATAAATAAATATAGACGTGTCTGAATGGACATACGATATATACGCTTATGTATACACTTAGAATATATACACAATCATTATACGGACAGACCATCCCGATACTGTCCTTCACATATATACATGGCACTCATACGTTTAGACCAACATCCAATTCACTCGGACATGCATCCAAAATACGCATTCCGTTACTCGTATATTCTAAGGTACAGTTGTAGCAGCAGACTGGTCTTGTTTGCAGAGAAGGACGGTGGTTCTGCAGGGATAATGGTGGAAAGACCATCATGATACTCTCCTTCACTATACATACATATCATACATACACTCGAACATACATCAAAAACACACTTGCCGATACACATATGCATACACACTTTTTTCTTTCAGAAAAGGAATGTGGTAGTGCAGGGATGATGGAGGAAGCCATCATCGTACACTCTTTCACTATACATACATACCATACATTCACTTAAACACACATACCGTTACACATACACATCCACATGCAAACTTGTAGCACGACACCTTGTTTGCCGAAAAGGACGGTGGTAGCACAGGGATGATGGAGGACGCCATCATGATACTCTCCTTCACGCGTGCTTGCTGCACCTCAGCATCGCGGCGGAAGTTAATCAGGCTCTTGCGCAGCTTCTCGTGTTCTTCGAGTTTCTGATTATAGAGGTTAGAGTTATTGTGCATTCTGATTCAGGGGACTACAGCAAACACAACTCTTGCCCACTTTCTCAGGTCATTCTGGCTTTCCAGCCGTCAAGATTGAGCTATAAATAGGTATTGAAATAACAGGGAATACAGACAAACACCCCCTAGTGGTGTTACATGTGAGATAGAGCTGTAGATAAGTATTGAAGTAACAGGGACTACAGAGAAACACCTTATGGTGTTAAGTGTGAGATAGAGCTGTAGATAGGTATTGAAGTAACAGGGACCACAGAGAAACACCTCTTTATGGTGTTAAGTGTGAGATAGAGCTGTAGGTAGGTATTGAAGTAACAGGCACTATAGAGAAACACCCCCTTGTGGTGTTACGTGTGAGATAGAGCTGTAGGTAGGTATTGAAGTAACAGGCACTATAGAGAAACACCCCCTTGTGGTGTTACGTGTGAGATAGAGCTGTAGATAGGTATTGAAGTAACAGGGATTACAGAGAAACACCTCCTTGTGGTGGTAATACGTGTGAGCTTTAGGAAAATAGTCACATGATTGACTTCTCACACCGACTGATTCTGTTCCTAGCACTCAGCATTGGGTTGTGGTCGTGTATACAGGTAAGGTGAGGTGCACCGGTTGAGACCCATGTGCACGTCTCCTTTCTTGGTTCAATTTCTAGCCAAAACAACCGTCAAGACATACCATGATGAGGTGTGTGATAGCCCACATAGATCGCCATGATATACCATGATAAGGTGTGTGATAGCCTAAATAGATTGCCATGGCTTACCATAAAGAGGTGTGTGATAGCCCACATAGATTGCCATGACATACCATGTTGAGGTGTGTGACAGCCTATATAGATCACTATGACTTACCATGATGAGGTGT